GCAATTTGTTTCTGCATCGTGGGGGATTTGTAGATTGTACACACAAAAATGTTCTGTATTTTAAATTTTTTGCCATTTCCCATTAATTTCCTACGGTCGGTCATTTTTGACCGAAGACCATGAGTGTGACTATTTTTTTTTTACGAGCACTTAGCTTTTTCGAATCATGCCCTCAAATTTTTTTTTTGTTAACATACCAAGTGCCATAAAAGTCACCAAGTTTTGTACCATTCCGATGAAGCTACGATTTTTAAATATTCAAAATGTAAAATTCTTTGGTCAAAAGTGACCGAAGACCGCACAAGTTAAGCCTCTTTCATTGATAGGCCTAATCCAACAAGACATTTGCAAGAACTGTGATGTGATTAGTTCAATTCAGTATCCAGTGCTGCGTTAGTGTGTGTATTGCAAAAGATCATAATAAATGGGTTTATAGTGTATTTTCGTGTTGCAACCTGTTGGCTGCCAAGTATCATGAGCCTCGCGGGGAAATTAAATGGAAAAACTCAGTCATCAGAGTGAGCTAAGTCAAGTATTAACAAGTCTCAAAAAGCTTGTGTCGCTCTATCATTCATGACCCATAATGAATAAAAACATCAGTAGGCTATATTTAACGATTTAGCTTGCTAGCCCACCTCAGATTTTAGGCATCGTGGTAACGTTAAAGATTTATTATGAAGCACTTGTTTCTCTAGTTCGCTGTGACAGACGAAAAGAAGCAAAACACTACCAAGTACAAAGTTCACTAGCAAGTTCTGCACATTAACCACAGACTGGAATGTAAAATTATATGAATGTCGACGAGACTGGGATTATGAAACTGAGCGCTGCCGAGGTGCACTGGAGAAATAGAGACTCCAGAGTGGATCTGAATCCGTGTATCATTCGATCATTCGATTTTTGATTTAATATTGAAAGCAGAAAAATTAGAAAACTGATTTTTTTCCCCAAAAAACTAAAAACGAGAATTCAGCTTAAATTTTCGTTTTTCGTCGTTTTTTCGTTTTAGGAGCCGTTTTCTCATTTTTCTACTTTCAATATTAAATCAAAAAACGAATGATCGAATGATACACGGATTGATCTGGAGTAGCAGAGTCACCACAGAATGCATTTAGCGTGGACTGAAATCCACTCCGCTCAGAGACCCTACTCTGCCTGCTAGCGGAGCACCTCATACCCCTGTGCACTTCCCTGGATCATGATTTAGATCAGGGCTGCCCAACTATGGAATTATTTTTGTTTTTATTATTCAAACAAACATTCTGTTTGAGAGTAAAACGAATTATTTTGTAATTAAAAAATAAAAGACTGCAAAAAAAAAGTATTCTAAAGGCTCAAAAATAAAGAAATTGATAACAAAATTATTTGCAGTGCTTATAAATCTTTGAAAATCAATTCAAAAACAATACTACAGCGAGAATAAAAGTTACGCCTTCATTCTTTGCGTGAACATTGACCGGTGTTATGCAAATCTTTAGAAGAGCCTTTTTAGGTAGGCGTGGCTGACTCTTAACTTTTATAAAGAATATCTCTTTGGATTTGAGACTTTAGTCTTTGCAACTTTACAGATCTTCTTTACGCACCAAGAGCTTGTAACACTCCAAAGATAAAGGAACAATTGAAATTGCATCATATGACCCCTTTAATATTTTTTAACGTAAGGTTTTCTGCTTATCAAAGCTGCATTCATTTGATCAAATATACTGTAAAAACAGTATTATTGTGAACTATTATTACTATAACTGTTTTCTATTTGAATACATGTTAAAAATGTAATTTATTCCTGTGATCAAAGCTGAATTTTCAGCATCATTACTCCAGTCTTCAGTGTCACGTCCTTCAGAAATCATTCTAATATGCTGATTTGTTGCTCAAAAAACATTACTGTCAATGTTGAAAAAAGTTTTTGGGGGATTCTTTGATGAATAGAAATGTATCTGAAGTAAAATATTGTTTATAACAGTATACATGTCTTTACTCTCACTTTTGATCAATTTAATGCATCCTTGCTGAATAAAAGTATTAATTTATTTAATTTATTTCCAAAATAAATCTTACTGACCCCAAACATTTAAACAGTAGTGTACATTATTACAAAATCTTTCTATTTCAGATAAATGCTGTTCGTTTTAACTTTCTGTTCATCAAAGAATCCTGAAAAACTTCGATAATAGTAATGTTTGTTGAGCAAAAATGGATGTTTTAGACCCGCAAAAAAAGATGGCAGAAAAGAGAGCCACATTTGTGGTTTCGCGATGAAACGTCTTTGAAGTGCACAAAGAAAAATAAAGATTTTCTAAGATTTATACGCACTGCAAATAATTGTTATCAATTTCTTTATTTTTGAGCCTTAAGAAGACTTTCTTTTGGCAATCTTTTATTTTTTAATTACAAATAATTAGTTTTACTCTCAAACATAGAATGTTTGATTGAATAATAAAGACACAAAAATGATTCCATATCCAACCCTGTTCCTGGAGATTTACTATCTTGCAAAGTTCAGCTCCTACCCTGATCAAACACACCTGAACTGTCGAATTAATCTCTTATTCGCACGGTATTAGTATTATCTGGGGACCTTGTGTGATTTTGAAATTACCCCCCCACATCTGAATTTCGTGTGGTGCATTCGCACGGGACAAGCGAAGCCTGTGATTTTACTCGAATTTACTGACATGTCTCCTGGATACCCGGATGGCAAGGCTTTGAGAGTCCCGTTCTATGGTCCAGATGGATTAAAAAAAAGAAACTAATATAGTTTCGTGCGCTGTGTCATTTACATTTCACCAGGTTAAAATAATATCTCAAGCTTTATGCTTGATTTAATTGTAACCAGTGTTGGGGAAATTTACTTTTAAAAGTAATGCATTACAATATTGCGTTACGCCATAAAAAAGTAACTAATTACGGTACTTAGTTACTTTTTATAGAAAGTAATGCGTTACGTTACTTTTGCGTTACTTTTAAAATCTGGACAGGGCTTGCTTGTTTGTTTTTAAAATAAAAAAGTTCTGTTTTTGGCAAATATAAAAGCCTTTTCACACCAAAATTGAAGTGAATAAGCCTCAGGCTGAAGGGAAAGTACATTTACGTCCATACAGTAGAATGCAGAAGAAGAAATTTCAACACACTTCAGCAATAAAAAAAAGTCACACAGATGTTTGTCTAGAGTAATTTTTGCTTATTAGTACGATTGAACTGGATCATCAAAGGTCAGAAGCAAAGACATTGGTTAATAGGATGGGATTAAATACATAAAGGATATTTGTGTTGTTTAACATTTAATTATTGCAGGTTTGCATCATATTCTGAGTTGCATTATTTTTATTCATTTTGAGGAATACTGAATCTGTTTTTTTTTGTGAGTGAGATGAATTAATGCATATTCATATTTATTTTAGAACTCCAGAAGCATCCTCTGATTTCACTCAATATCAGGACAGGTGAGCTGTCAATCAATAAATTGGAAAAAAAAGTAACTTGCGTTACTTATTTGAAAAAGTAACTCAGATATTCTCTTGTAAATTAAAAAGTAATACGTTACTTTACTAGTTACTTGAAAAAAGTAATCTGATTACGTAACTCGCGTTACTTGTAATGCGTTACCCCCAACACTGTTTGTAACACATTAACCTCAAAACCTTTTCAGCTTTCTCTGTGCAAATTGTATGGTGTAGCGATATGATGACAGCACCCAAAATACTATCAAACACTCCAACGCAGCTCCATTCTTCGCGAAAGATGGATAAAAAGGCGCACAGCAAACAAAAACCTCGAAAAATGATATGCGACCCGCCAAATGCTGGCCAAATCACAGAGATGCCGATTCGCACGGGACTAATATCACAGGACCTCTGTGTTTGGCGAAATATGGTAGGTCTTTTGCGGGGGACTTTTTACTTTACAAATTACAGACATGGCCGATTCGCACGGGATTAAGATCACAGACAACCGCAATTATTGGGTGATTCTTAGACTATGGCCACTTTTATGTTCTTTGGTCATATTTATAAAAATACATATAATTTTGGACAAATTCCTCTTTCTTAGTCAAACTAACAATAAAACCACCTTAACATCTTTTTACTACCTTTCTATTATGATTTTTTCATACTTTTCAACCTCCTTATAGGTGTCAAAATCACTGTTTTCTCCTTGTCGCACACCCAGACTTTTAAACTTCAATAATGAAAATACAGTTTAAAAATATGACTTATCTGGTAACTATTAATGTACCTGAATTATAATCAGTTAAAACACACTAAAAACAGGAGTGGTTATGTTTAACGACTTTGTGAATTGAGTTTAATGAGTGTGATGAGTTTAAGAATTGTTCTAATAAATATCTCTACATTCACGTTAATTCATTGTCATTTCCATCACCACACACATTTTTAAGAAATATTTAAAAAGTTCTCATCACACATTAAAAATGTATCCACAATTTATGAGATTATGCTCTACTTAATATAAAAATTCAAGGTATTTATTTTCTAATAAGCTCTTACCCAAACCAATATTACATTTCATAGTGTGACAGGTGTACAGTTCAGCATTTGGTCCTTAGGGGAGTTCATTTATCTCATTGACAAATGTGCAAAAACTGGTAAAACTAGTTACAAAAAGGATCTTAGACAATTCTTGAGTGGCATAAGTTATTCTATTTTTAAATAACAGCTGTATATTGAGATGTGGTGGAAATGACATTCGTTCATTGCAGGTTGGAAAAAATGTAAAATACTAACAATTCCTCTTGTAATCTAAGTTGAACAAGTTTTTTTTATTCAACTTCACAAGGATAAAAGTGCACCTAGTTGAAGAAACGCCCTATTACAAATGTCAGGTCACCAGGTAATACTAATCCCGTGCGAACAGGGCTTTAGGCAGCACTTGATAATTACAGACAGCTGTGTTGGAGCAGGGCTGGGACTGAAGTCTGCAGGTTGGTGTAGAGCTCCGGGAACAGGGTTGGGCACGGCTGATTTAGTTAATGCCTAACTTCCACAGGAAAGCGCTTGGAATGTTGCTTTCACTTTTAACTACCGCTGAAACTGCGTCGCTAGCAGAAGAACAGAACGCTTTCATAAAGCAGAATCTGTATTAATTTTCTGAGGGGATAATTGCGAAAATGAAGCTTCTCTGTAAGGCGCTTGCAGGAATCTTGTTTTTACTCGACCACGGTAAGACATTTATTTGTTGCAATCACTCTCCCGAACCCGAATTCTTTGACCGTGGGTAGCCTATATCTGTAGTGCAAGCTGGCAACAGCGCCTAGCAGAGTCACATAATGTGTGTAACGCTAATGATGAAAAAAAGGAACCTACGCAGCTGAAATGCAGTCTAGATCAGTTTCAACGGCTTTGCAAGTAATCATGCCAATATAAAAACGTAACATGTCAGTAAATGCTGATACACTTTACATAAATGTATCAAAGCCTAAATATATTATTTACATGGGAAAATATAGGACTTAAAAATATTTTGTAGAAAATGGCACCGTATTATCTGAGCATCATATTTTTTATGAATCCAGGAATGTTTCTCTACTCAAAAAACCTCATGATATGTAGACAAAACATTCTCATAGCAGTATTGTAGCAGTGTTGTATTGTTTGGTTTATATTTTTTCTTCAGTTGCATCTGGTGTTGGATCAGATGAACTGCCGGTGCCTGTGATGGAGGGAGAGGCAGTCATTTTTCACACTGGTGTTGAAACAAACCAACAAGAAGATATAAAGTGGTATTTCAGCAGCACTCGCATCGCTCAAATCAATGGAGATCTCACTAAGATCTGTACAGATGTTCAGTGTAATTCAGGTACTGAGATATTCAGAGACAGACTGCAGCTGGACAATCAGACTGGATCTCTGACCATCAGAGACATCAGAACCACAGACTCTGGACTTTATGTACTGAAGATCATCGGTAGAAGCAGCAGCAGCAGTGAAAAAACCTTCACTGTTATTGTCAATAGTGAGTCATTCATATTTTTGTTTCTCCGTAAAAAGGTGTAGCTGAGTTCAGATGGAGATGACAGCATCTAATCATCTCTGACCAGCTGATAATTATGTTTAAATAAAGTAAAGAAGGGCTTGTTGCTTTCATCTTCAGTTCTTTCATGTTGTGGAGTTTGCTATTAATTCCAGCAGAAAGAGCATCCAGCAGCTGTTGGTTTGTGCTTCAGGTGTTCCTGCTGCTGAGCGAGATGAAGTGAAGAGAAACGAGGGAGAATCTGTCACTTTAGATTCTGGTGAAATAAGAAAACCAAATGATGTGATGACGTGGTTTTTTAATGACACTCCCATCGCTCAAATTACTGGTGATCCCAATAAAAGCTGTACAGATGTTCAGTGTAAAGATGGTGATGAGAGATTCAGAGACAGACTGAGGCTGGATCATCAGACTGGATCTCTGACCATCACAGACACCAGAACCACAGACTCTGGACTTTATAAACTGCAGATCATCATCGGCAACAGCAGCAGTTTCAGTATCACCAGAGTGAAGAGATTCAATGTTACTGTCTTTGGTGAGTATAATTCAGTCATTCAGTGCATTTTCTTTGAGGAATTCAAACAAAACTTCAATAAGTCAACTCGGTAAGTGTTTGGTTTGTGGGCTGTTTAATAAAAAACACACTGACTCAAAAACACATTGACTAATGTTACGCAATAAAAATTATACTGACTCTAATGGTATAGTGTATAATCTTACGAAAGCTTTTTATTTCACATAAATACTGATCTTTGGATCCTTCTATTCATCAAAGAATCCTGAAAAAAATTACTCAACTGTTTTAAATATTGATAATAATAATTGATCAGCATATTATAATGATTTCTGCAGCATGTGACACTGAAGACTGGAGTAATGATGCTGGAAATTCAGCTTTGCTCTCAGCAATCATTTTAAAATATATTCAAATAGAAAGCAGTTATTTTAAATAGTAAAAATATTTCACAACATTACTGATTTTGCTGTACTTTGAATCAAATAAATGCAGGCTTGGTGAGCAGAAGAGAATTATTTATAAAACATTAAAAATCTTACTGTTCAAAAACTGTTGCCTGGTAGGCTATATAGATTACAGAAATGTTATATAATATTTCTGTCCCCCCTCGCTTCTGAAATGATGGCTACGCCCCTGAATGTTAGTAACATGCCAAATATGATATCAATCATCACAGTGATGTGATGTTTTAACTACTGTTGCTAAAAACAACAGATGGCACCATTCATCAGTTAAATCAATGCCATACAATTTTTGACCAAAAGTAGAAATCTGTAATAGTCAAAAGTATTGTTAAATACTGGATGGATTTCCATTCCCTCTATAGTAACAATGACTGTCTGTCTTTATCTGTTTCAGATTCAGGGTTGTCTTCTGCTGCTATAGCAGGAATAGTTGTTGTTTTTGTTCTGCTTGCAGCTGCAGCTGTAACTGCTGGTTTGATTTACTGTCGCCGCATGAGATATAGAAGAGCACCACAGCATGTAAGTCATGGTGCAGTCAAAAAATGGTCACAACTCCCAAATAAACTAAATGGGGAATTTAAAAAAATAAAATAAAACGCAGTTCAAAATTTTCTGAGAGCAAGTTTCTTAAAAGAAAATGTCAATATAACAGTTCAAACATTTTAGATGTGGTATTAAAATCACAGTACTTCAAATTTGTATTGCTGTAATACACAGCTTGATGCAGTTTTAGACAGTTTTAAATATTTAGGGAAAGTTAACATTTTTTTGTTGTTTGTGTAACTGACACATCTGTTACTTTTACCATTTATGAATCTGTGTTATTTTTTTATTTTATTTATTTTTTACAGGAGAATGATGCTAAGAAAGACATTGCCTTGAGGGACACAGGACATGAATCAGACTTAAATCAGTCTCAGACTGAAGCGGCCTAAAAAAAAACTATGTATAATAATTTATAATTGATACTTTCATTTAAAGGGACACTAAAGAGAATTCGGGGCGGGGGGGCAACTGGAGAGAAGAGGATCTGCTGAAACTGTCTTCAGAGTAATTGTGTCATGAGTCCAGGTTTTCAATTAAAATTTAAAAACTGATTTGTTTAATGAATTCAAACATTTAGACTTACACAATGAGCAATAATGTAAGAAACTAAACAACACATCACTATGAATAGCATATGCATTTTTCAAAGCTGCTGACAGGAATGAGAAATTATTTCTTATCTTTTGCACAAAGACATAACGCTAATCCGTTATGACATAAGTTGTTTTGTCTTGCCTCTTCACATCCTCTTACAACTAAGACAATGATTGCATTTTCCACAATTGCCTCACCAAGAAGAGCATTATACGAAAAGTTCACTCCTCACACAGTCTTATAGTGGAGGACACAAGTGCTCGTCATAGTCTACACTACTGCTAGTTTACATGTTTCTACTGTTTTAACTGAAATGATGTTACTAATGTGTATGGCTTAGCTACTAACACTAACCCAGGCTGGACCAACTCTGAATAGCATTGCTTTTTTATAGGTCCACCTTTAAAGATGCCTGGAAGTTCACAAGTCGATGAAACACTTTGCTGAGAGTATTTATGATCTTCAGTGCCTGTAACTGGATGCTGTATTAAAACATGTTAATCTGGCGATTGGTAATGTGATGTTTGCCCCTTGTTCCTTTTTTTTGTCTGGAACTCATTTTAAATGTATTAATATCCTCAATAGAGATTTATCATTAGGTGTATTTACATCTGGTAAATATTTCTTAGCCATGTATGCATTTTTTTTTTCATCATAAATAAGAACTGGACACAGATTGGTTTCACAATGCTAAAGGTGGTAAGCTGTTATTATTGTGTTCCTTGCAATATGGCCAGAATATTTTTAGACATTTTCTTTTCTGTTCTCCTCAACCATCAGCCAAAGGGGAAAAAAAGTGCCTTGAATAAACACTATTTTAAAAACTATTTTTTTTTAAAACAAGGAACGAGCTTGACAGATCTTTGTAGGTGATACATATTATTAAAAACAAATTATTCATTCTTAATGGCTGGAATCTGTGTCTGTAAAATCGTTTTGCGTGTGTTATCAGAAATGATCGTGAATGCTCTCATTGAATCGTTGAGTTAAAAATTATTTCAACAGTGATGCGTACCTAACTAGTCTTCTATCACGCTGCAATCCATCACGCTCCCTAAGGTGGCAAAACTCTGGACTCTTGGTAGTACCTAGGATAGCAAAGTCCACTAAAGGAGGTAGAGCTTTTCGCATTTGGCTCCCAAACTCTGGAATAGCCTTCCTGATAACGTTTGGGGTTCAGACACACTCTCTCTGTTTAAATCAAGATTAAAGACACATCTCTTTGGCCAAGCATTCAAATAATGCATCTCATAATCTTTTACTGCAGTTATATCTGATCAAATGCACATTATTATTCTTTAGTTTGGGTTAAACAAATACATTTTGCTTGGTTGGAACAGCAGCTACGCTAATTATGTTTCTATTTGTTTCTCTGTTTTTTGCCGTAACTAGGATTTACACAAGCTTCAGTCTGGATCCAGAACACCTGAGAAGAGATGATGCAAGCCCTCAGAGGACCCTAAACTTTCACCAACAGTTACAGCGATTGCTTCTACAGTAAAACTGATAATGTGGTAGACACCACTCAAAAAAGACATTTGAAAAAATGTCTTACACTCTTTAACGAAGGCGCCATATTAAAGTATGAGTTTAGGAACATTAACTGTAGGCTATACCTATTTTTGGTGAAATAGCCTATGATAACTGTGGTCGGACAGAATTAATAACACTAATAGTAAACAAATACGACATTTAAGATTTATTCTGTGTGAATATAAAACTGACTGCTGGGGGAAACGAAGCTTTTCGAAACGTTGTATCAACTGAATCAATGGCTTTGCAAATTGATTCACAATTGCGAAGCACTCGAAACTTCACACGCTGGTGACGCCTACTGGCCAGAATGGTGTAAATGCAGTGAAAACTCAGATTAAACGTGCATAAAACACCTTTACAAACCAATTGCAAACGTTTCATTGAAAATGCAATCTATTAAATAGCCGCGCTTTTCTTTCTTCATTTTTGCTGTTTTTGACCAAAGAAACGCACAATAAATGTATTGGAATCTCCAACTTTATATGGACATTGAATTTATTTTCCAATCCGTTCAAGAAACAAGGGCGTAAAAAACAATTATTTAAAAATAATACAAACTCACACCTCTACACAGTTTTTTGGGGACATTATTATATCTGTTTTCTTTGTGCACAAAATGTATTCTCATAGCTTCAACATTACAGTTGAAAAACTGATGTCACATGGACTAGTTTAACGATGTCCTTACTACCTTTCTGGGCCTTGAACGTGGTAGTTGCGTTGATGTCTATTCAGGGTCAGAAAGCTCTTGGATTTATTCTTGGATTAAACATAATTTACTATTATTGTAGGGAAAAACATGTGATTATAACTGATGGTGCTTCAGATAACATTAAGCCTAAAACGTATAATGTATCATTTGTTGTGAATTCTTCCCTTTAAGTTTAAGACTTGCGATCTGCGTGATGTTTCAGTATTGACTTGCGTAAATAACGTAGTGCAGTGTTCACAGCATGTACGGTCTTAGCGTAACTGCCTATTCACTAAGTTACTTCAGCACGGCAGTCACACGTTGTTCATGTTTACAACTGTATTACATGTAAGGGTAACATTTTCATGGTGATAATACCTTTCAACGACCATTATTACTAACATCTGTATTAATGATACGGTCTCATTTCTATAAATAACTTATATTTCATTGTTTGTAATCTTACTATGCAGATTGTTATTCTCACAGAGATATTGCTGATATATTTCTCAGTTTATATCAGTGCACTTTTCAAAGTTGTTTATTATAGAGTTTGTGATATGTTGAGTCATTGGTTATATTTGAACAATGAATATTTATATCTGTTGTTTTATTTATTTCAGAAACTACCTCAAATACACTAACATGTGTATAAGGTCAAATCTTGTACAATAAACTGTCAAACTCAATATGATGACTCGACTCCCTGACAAGAGTTCTGCAGCGGTCAATAATTATTAACCAGCATTCAGTGGGGCAGTCCCCAACATCATTATTTATCGCACTAACATGTGTATATGGTCAAATCTTGTGCAGTAAACGGTCAAACTCAATATGATGACTCGACTCCCTGACAAGAGTTCTGCAGCGGTCAATAATTATTAACCAGCATTCAGTGGGGCAGTCCCCAACATCATTATTTATCAGTGATAAAATATTATTAAATTACTGTATGGATACATCTTATAAAACGTTTTCTATGTACTAATAATTAGGGCTAATTAAATTTTTTCTGCAAAATGAAAATAGACTGGCAAAATTTACAACACCGAGGTGCAAACAATATACACAAATTTAGTGAATCTAGCATTTGCTTAAACTATACTTTTTTGTCAGTCCCTACTAAAGGTAATAATGATGACAGTTGAGTTTATAAACCACCCACGTCTGTTCACTGACCGCCTGATGCTGCAAACTTCAATCAGCAAACTTCAAACACACTAACTGACTGCAACAACTTGCAACATCTTACCTTTTGTCGTGTTTTTGGTTCACACAATGCTGAATCACTTCTGTCTTCCTTCTGTCTCTGGACTGCGTTAATGGTAACCACAGATGTGTTAAAACAAGAAAGTGTTCAATATTTGCGTCTTAAAAAGATCAATACTTCTACAGAATAATTGCTTGCACTCCTGACCGGTTTTTCTACATGTCTTGCAGATGCAGAAGATCCCAATGACTGCAGCTACAATCAACAGAAAACCAGAGGCAGCAGCTGAGATCCGCACTATGTTAAATAAAGGTAGGCCTTTGTCTGAAATGGACAAAATGAGCCAATAGTGTGAGTGAATCTGTCCATCAAAAACGATCAAACTTCAACACTGTATAACAGAGTAAATCTATATTAATATCACCATACCTGCACATGTGTGACAGAGTTGACTGATGTCCAGATGTTTCATCTGGTTGCTGATGGGATTGTTGAGCACACAGCTGTAGGTGTTTTTCTCCTGATATTCCACCTCCAGAGGTAGAGAGAGACTGATGCTGAGATCAGACACACTGATGCTGGACAATAAACCTTTGTACCAGGAGAGAGTCGCATGACTCACATTCACCACTGAACACACCAATGAACAATTCTGCTGTGATGAAGATGATGATGAACAGTTGGAAGAGTTACTGCTGATGACAGGAACAGGCAGACGAGCTGGGAAACATCAGACACTAAAGAGAAATATGGATACATATAATGCACAATATTATTTTTGGTATAGTGTGTTGTAATCTGTGTCTCATCACTCCAAAGTTTGAGTCCCAATAGTCTTTGGCTTTGTCAAGCCCTGGCAAATTCTAGACAAGCTTTTTTTGTGCGTGGACTTAAGCAGTGGCTTCCTTCGTGGACAACATTATGGTACATTGTATGGTGTCATGGTTTCACACTCATCCCAGTTTGACTTTGCAAACCAAATTTGACTTTTGCGACAGAATTCAAACTTATTAGCAGTGCTTTGCTCAATTTCTTAACATATTTTGTGCAAAGAAATTATTTTCTTTCCCAGCTCTCTTGACATTTCTTTTTCACGTATAGTGCCATTTTGTCAGCATTATATGGGAGTGGATTTTCTCTTTTAAATACCACCCTTAATTGTCAGTTATTCTGTGACCACGTGTGTAATGTTTGATTAGACCCATCTGTTGGCGAATTCCTGTTAATTACAGTTTTATTTTATGTTTTTTTCCCTAACACATTCATTGGGGTGTACTAAATTTTGCACCCTGATTTTATATTATTTTGCTAGAATAGTTCCAATTTTGCCTTTGGTACTGACTAATCTAATTTAAAACCAATAAACCAGATTTGCACAAATATTTCATTGTATTGGATCCCATACAAAGTATTAAAGGGGTCATATGATGCTGCTAAAA